ATATAACAGCAAGGTTTTATTTCTATAGCCATTGTAATGTGTTGATTATACATAACTATATACATAATGAGCTCAGAACCACAAAAATTCTAGAGCCATTGACTGTCAACATATTCGTTGCATTTGATATCTCAATTTATAACTGATATATTACAGAATTAATTTGTTTTCCTTATACTTTAAATAAATATTACTAAGATTACTTCTTTACTTGCTGATTATATTGTCAAGCAGTATGCAATGAGGATATAGTATATAAAATAATGATCTTAAGGTCTGTCATGAGAGAAAAGAGTTGAAATATTTCTGCCGCTGATGATTTGAAAAGCAATTACCTAAGTTTAGGCCTTTTCTAAAATGTAAAAGCTAAATGATATTTCTATTTTTAATATTACTTTAAAACTCTAATACCCATGATTTTCATAATTTTTATGGTTATCTTTTCTGTTGGATATGCACAAAAGTTTAATGAAAACTCATGGCCTCTTTAAACTCATAAACTTGTTGATCTGCTTGTCTTGGGAAGGTGGTTGCTGATTTAATTTTAGTTACATTTAGCAATTACTGACAAATTTGTGATCCAATGGAAGCATTACTTCTGGAGGAATGTAAAAATCGACTGGCAATTTCCTTCTGAAAGAGTTTATAGGAAAGAAGGCCCTTATGCACATACCCATGAGTGTTATCCCACTTGAGTATAGACTTCTCTCCAATTCTTTGCTCAAACTGAATTCTTTGTTCAAGAAGAGCATTTTGCCCAAGTGTTACCACATAGGCAAATAGCTAGACCATCTTGATGAAAACCACTTCTACTGATATATCACTAAGAGATATGGTGGGAAATTATAAACATAAATTTTAAGAAGTATTGCCTTTCTGGGACAAGGAAGATTCCCAAAGATATATGTACATGCAAGAGTCCTATAAAATGTGTATCACTCTACAACAATGAGCCACTTAATCAGACTGTTAAGTGTTTTCAGAATTGCTGAGCAAAGCTAAGAGTGAAGTACAAGAGTGAACTGTGCTCCTTAAGAAGAACAAAGAATTGCAAACTTTCACAGAAGATCTGGAGATAATGTAGCTTGTGGAGTCAAAAACTGAATTTACTAATAGAGTACCAATTAAATAATCTTGTGGTTTCCAAAACTGGAAGTGGGCCTTAACATTCTTAAAAAATCGTAAGCGTTGGATGTGTAGTTAAAGAAAAGGCTAGGCCTAGTTACCAAAGTACAGCAAATGACATTTACTCATATTCCTAGAATATTGTCTTTGAAAGATTAGAGGTGCTTAGTATAAACTGGTTATCTTTTCTATGTATTTTTGTCTATGCCTCTCTCTATTTTCAATATTTACCGTATCTATTGTGTACCAGGCACTATCTTAATTATAAGGATCAATAAGTTCCAGTCCCACATTGTTTCAAAGATTCTGTCAAGTTTTAAAGTATACAGTTAAGGAAGTATTATTCAAAGGCCTCGAAGAGATTCTACGAGTAATATATGAAGGATTTAGTTTCTGATTAGTTTATTGTAATTAGACAATAACATTTTTTTAGCCTTTTTGCTCCCACAAGAAGAGTCCCCAGGAGCTTTTTAGAGAAGATGATTTGATTTCTGAGGAAAACTGTGGTGTAGCCTTCTTGGGAGGAATCCAAATGTAACTAAATAAAAATATGAAAACTATGCTTTATAGAGAACACTATAAAACCTAGTCAGAAAAATTTTGCTTATAATTAACCTGTGCTTCTGAAAATATCGAGTCTAAAAGTAGTAAATATGAATTCTTAATAATGGGTTCTTAGACTACAGTTACAGTGATACTTCGAGTTTGTTGTTACAGTTGTTTACTATAAGAAAAACACATGTTCCTATCAAAGCATGTAAAATTAATGAACACATTTTATATGAAGCTCAAAAAATACTCTCTTGGGCTTCCCTGGTGGCGCAGTGGTTGAGAGTCTGCCTGCCGATGCAGGGGACTCGGGTTCGTGCCCAGGTCCGGGAGGATCCCACATGCCGCGGAGCGGCTGCGCCCGTGAGCCATGGCTGCTGGGCCTGCGCTCCGCAACGGGAGAGGCCGCAACAGTGAGAGGCCCGCGTACCAAAAAACAACAACAACAACATCAACAACAACAAAACTCTCTTGCAAGCTGTACTCGTTAAAGAAAACTATCAATGAATACATTAAACAAAAACAAAAATTCAAAGCAACAATGGCTTCAAAGCTAATACCTCAAGAAGGCTGAAATGTAGCAAAGTCATAAAGGATAGGGATAAAACATGTAACTGACAGAGTTTATCTAAAGATAAAACAGTTCTTTTGACACCAGGCAAAGGGATCAGGGAAAGATGGGGGTCAATAAGTGGTGAATGGCATGGCAGACTTTCTGCCTGGCCTTCACTCTTGACCTAAAGGATCATCTCACGACCAATAGGAACCGCTGAAGAGGCTTGTATAAACCTCCCCTAACAGCAGGTCTGAGGCTGCCTCAAACTACTGGAGTGTAAACCAGGCCTTTTAATTTCTATGATGTAAAGTAAGTCCATTTGGCCACTAGATGGAGATCAGGTTACTCTGCCATTGACAGGGAAGCTGCTGGCAGTCAGCAAGTGATAAGTATGGTACTGAGAAGCTATTCTCTTTTCTCAGTACTTCTATGGAAGGTATTTTCCAAGAGCCCAGATCAGGAGCAAACCAATGTTGAATAAAGGGTCCATAAATGAGGAGTAGGTTGAGGGATTGATTAGGAAGGTAGCTGTAAAAGACACATTTTTGCTTGTTATTACCATTGCTCCTGGAATGACTCATATTTAGATTTGGTTGTACAAGCTACTTGTAAATAGTAACATAAGCTGGTCTAAATAAAAGCAATTAAGTATGCTGTCTCATTATTTACCAAGCAGTGAGAAGGAAGAGGAGAGATGTGACCAAAAATTACAACAACGGCAGATGATGTGGACAATGAATTCTGTCTGTTTAGACATAAAGATATATGCTCATAATTTGCTCCAAAGTTTGAGTATGTGTGTAAGTGTATATTTTCAATATCAACAAAATGGATCAAGAAACATCAGAGATGGAAGGAGAATGTTAGATAACATTCTAACGTTCTAATTTTACAAATGGAACTATCATTCAATTCTGAATTATGTAACTTTATTACTGAATAAGTTATTTCTATTATAGCTGCACTTTGAACTGGAGACATAAAGTTACACATTTCCTAGAAAATGTTTGGTTTGTAGAAGGATCAGATACTGCCTTGTATAATATAGCAGAGTATTTTGATTATTTTTGAGATGTTAGATACTATATTTCTGTTCATTTCTAACTTAGAAACTATATATATTCATTCAATACTTATTCAGTTACAACTGATAAACTGAGACAGTTAAAAGAATCCATTTGTTGTCAAAAAGCTTCAATTTCGTATATATGAGTATAAACAAGCATATCTGTCTACTGTGTACCAATCATCATGCTAAGGGCTGGAGATACAGCGATGTACAACAGAGGCAGGAAAGTCACTGGGAAGAGGAGAGTTACATGGTTAAAACACAAACAGGGGTTAATTTTTGTACCAGTGAAGACCCGTTATCAAAATCATGAGTGACACTCCTTTTAAAAGTTCTGTTGTGAAAGATAAACTTAATTGTTATAACCTTGTTATAACACATGAGAAATTGAAATAAAATATAAGAAATTCAAACACAATAGTATTTACTATTAGGCATCAATTACTGTAATGAAAAGAGGAGCTTAATTCAAAGGGAGAAGAAACTAATCTTCAGAATAATGAAAGAAGCAGAACCACAGTTAATTAATTTTCTAATTACTGTCATGGATAGTGACCAACATTCAGTCTGTTACTATGATAGATCCACTGCACTTAATGACATGTTTATTTTAGAGTAATACATTTGTTTTAGCTTAATTAAATTAATATACTCATACCCTTTCAAAAGGATTTGGGGCTGCTGGCCTATATTGGTTTGCGATTTTCAAGATGTTCCTATAATCTAGGAATATGTATTACTCATTTACAAATACACATACACACACACACACACACACACACATATTTCTCCTGTAAGGAATATCACAAAAATAACCACAGAAAGTAGTAACTATTAATCAGATATCAATGGAGTAGTTTGTAGAAATTTCTTATCTTGTTAACTGGTTCTTTACAAGAGCAACACAGTTGGCAGGAACCTACCTTTCTTTTTGCTGGATAAAAATGAAATGTAAACAAAGAAGTTTTCCTCTGAAGGTTAAAATAAATAAATTACAAATAAAATAAATCCTTTTACAATTCGGTTTAGCATTTATGGGTACACAGCGTTCCTCACTGCTCACATTAGTTCCAGACAGCAACTAGATTAGCTGGTGACTGAGCCATTTCTGGAGCTGTGGAGCTTCCTCCCTCTGTGGTGACCTGTTCCCATATTTCTTGCTAGTGCAGGGTTGGGTCTACTTATTATGACTGCTAAACTTCCATTCTCTGGAAATAAGGAGGTTGGTAAAAACACATCTCTATTGGATGCATAATTCTTCTTATCTTCTCTAGTCTAAACGTTTTGGCCTTACACTAATGCGCTGCGTTTTAGATGCTCAGTATTTCTGTTTCCTTGGTAGCATGGGGCGATGCTGACGACAATGGCAGAAGTGAGAACAGATGCAAAGGTGGTGCTGGAAACTGATTAATGCTTAAGGTTAAAAAATAAAAGTTGATAATTGTATTTGCATGTTGTGAGGTGAGGAACCTATATATTTAAGCACTGACAGACAAAAAAGGCACATTTTTACTTTTTAACTATCTAGAAGGATAGATCTGTCTTTTTCTGTTATGAGTCCCAAAATTATTTTAGCTATTTAAGTAAACTACATTTGAGTCACTGGGCCGGGAGTTTCCACGACTGTGGCATTTGCGACTAAATGAATGAATTTATAACTGAATGTGTACCCTTAAGAGGTAAGGTCAATTCAAATGGTACCTGCATAAGTCTGTCACCTTCTTGTCCAATCATGTTTCTCCATTCCATGAGTGACCGCTGCAGATGTTCCAGTCCAGTTTCCCAAAGCCGGATGCGACCTCCCATGTCAACAGTGACAACGCCACCTTTGCCCCACTCAGCCAGCAGTGCATCTGTGTCCGAGATAGTAGATAGCCACGTGGTATATGGTGAGAGAGAGTCTGACCTGCAAAAGAAATCAGTGTTCAACCAGTGAAGTCCAGGTAATGAAGTTAGTTTAACCTGATTTAGGTTCATTAAACTTCCTACAAAGAATTCTCATAGTTAAACAACACGGACCTACTGTACAGTACAGGGAACTATACTCAATATCTTGTAATAACCTATCATGGAAAAGAATCTGAAAAAGAATATATATATATGTATACGTGAATCACTTTGCTTACACTTGAAACTAACGCAACATTGTAAATTAACTATACTTCAGTAAGAAAAGTAATGCTTTAAAAAAACATTCTAATAGTAAGCACAATTAAAAGATAAGGTACCAACAGATCCACATGTAAGGAAAAAATACATAGTTATTTACTGGTTATTTACATATTCCTGTATTTGTAGATCCTGGATGACATTAGCATTCACTGTCAGGAAGAAAGAAACTCTACACCAACTGACACCTCACATACCCTCAGCGCTGGACACACTCCTTAGGGGTCTAAGGTCAGTGCTGAAACTAATGTCTTGTTTATGTGCTTTAATTGCATTTATATTTAATATTTTGCCTTTTCTAACTTAGAAAGTTATAAGGATTTATAATAAAGAATTTATATATTTCTTGTATTATATATTTCATACATATACCTATTTCTGATATTATATACAGAAATAGTCATTTCTAGGAATGCAACTTTCACCTATAAGAGTCAACTGCACACTTCCTTTACCTCAGTATAGCTCTCACGACACGAAAGAAACACAGATTATAAATTCTAATTACGTGTTGGCTCTCTAAATACATCTGATATTTTCTGTATGAAATAAATGGTCTAAAGGGATGATCTAACATAATAAAAACATAATACACTATCAATGTAGATTTGTTAAAACCACAAAACTACTACATAGTGGGTAAATTCTTATAATATACTAAAGAATAGATCAAGGCGACTTTAGCCTTTTTATCAGTCTGCCTTAGTAGATACTAAACACAGAGTGACAAAGCCAGATGTGGTGGAACATGCAAGTCTTAGAAAATGTTTATATGAAGAGAACAAAAACAGTAGGATGGAAGAAGTGTTTCAGAACTACTTCACAGTACTAGAAGGACTCAACGAAGATAACATTTGATATAATACAGGATTCATCTCATGGTGCTCCCTCAAAAAATATTTGCCTTAGGAAAAGAATTAGTAGGTACAGATGGTGAAGTAAAAGGGTACTCAGAGTAATGAAATTTCTCCACCTGTGATGTTTAAAACTCTGCCGCAAGTGCTCAATATGAACGATTCTATTGAGCACAGTACCTACTGGTTGCTTATTTAACTCTCCGCCATGAAACTTTACATTTACAGGGGCAATTTCTTCAGTATGTCAAAAATGTGCTTGAAGATATCACATATTTGCTACAACTTGCACGCCAGGTCTAGAATCTCTTCTTCACCTTTTTTAAAAAAATGCACATTCCCTTTATATATAATAACGAAGTCTTTAAGGAATACATAGAATTATAGTAGAGTGAAGCCCAGATTTATATACTCCTGTATATCAGAGCTAAGTAGTATCATTTTACAAATGCAAATAATACAAAAATTTGAGGAATAATACTCACATTTTACTGAGAGTGAAAGTGATGTATTCATTTTGGCCCTGCAGTCACATATAGTTTTACTGTGTTTTCTATTATTGGAAGTTAGCCATCAAATGGAAAATTCCTGCTATCTAGCAAAATACTAAATTTAAGCAACCAGCAACAAAACTGAAATCCAGATGGGTTGTTCCCTTGGATTACATATATGCCAAAAACGGCAATAGTTAATCTCAAGAGAAACTCAGGATATACTGATAATGAACAGACTCTAAACCACATGGCATTTGAAATATGGCAAGTCCAAATTGAGATGTTCTGTAAATGTAAAATACATACTGGGTTTCAAAGATGCAGAAGAAAAAAGGAATGTCAAGTATTATTAAAATGTTTATATTAAATACATTTCAAAACAGTAATACTTTAAATATAATGGGTTAAATAAAACACTATTAAAGGTAATTTCACCTGTTTCTTTTTTTACTTTTCTAATGTGACTACTAAGAACATAAAATTACATATATGGCTGACATTCTATTTCTATTGGACAGCACAGCACTAAATGAATGAAGTATGGTGATCAGCTGGCACTGGCTGAATATATATAGCTGCCCTTCCAGATGTTACTTCTATGGCAGGTATAACATATGGTTCATACAGAAAGTTAACAGAGAAAAGCACTGAAATAAAAAGCTAGGGTCAATTAGGGAGAAATTAAGAGAAATATTGAAAAAAATCATCATGCTTTAGAAATGTAAAAAAAAAAGGTGTTCTTTTCTTTTGCTACTTGAACTAATAGTATGTGTTTTTTTTTTATGCGGTACGCAGGTCTCTCACTGTTGCGGCCTCTCCCGTTCCGGAGCACAGGCTCGGGACGCGCAGGCTCCGCGGCATGTGGGATCTTCCCGGACCGGGGCATGAACCCGCACCCCCTGCATCGGCAGGCGGGCTCTCAACCACTGCGCCACCAGGGAAGCCCTAATAGTATGTTTTAATGAACATACAATGGAATAAGAAATTCCCCCAAATGACAAAAAGCTATTTTTCATTAAACTGACACATTAAGATGTTCCAAGAAGACATTCTTATATATGTTGGAACAAGTAAATCTATTTCTTTGGATAATACTTTTATTCTTCATATTTCTCGAACCTGACTAAAAGGTCCTAAGAAATGAAACTGTTTCTGAGTTATTCTGTACTGTCACGCTGAGCAATTTTCTTCTGGGAGTTGGAGGCGTGGGTCAACAGGAGGTCTGGTGACGTCTGGGTGACTGACAGGGGTAGCTGGCCTTCCTCTGACATTGGAAGCCTCTCCAGGCTCCTTTCCCCAGGATTTTGGGTGAGCCTTTAACCACTGTGTTGTGAGGCCTCAGTTGCCTGTGAGGGAGTACATGTTAGGAGGGGATGTACATCAGTCTATACAAAAGCAGGCACACGCTTAGGATGAGAAAGGGAGATCGGGCATGGATGCATCCAGAAAGGGATGGGCTACAGGTGAGGACACATGTGTCTGTCAAGGGAGAGATGGAGCATCATTGCTTCTCCTTTTATACCCTTAGTCTAGTTAGTTTGAATGCTTTGCTTCCACTGCTGAACAGTAATAAAAGCAGCCAGTGGTAACGAGCTCCATTCCAAATCTCTGGAATCCTTTGGCTACTGTACAGCCTTCACGACGGTAGATGCTCAGTTACATATTTAAAAACAATATTAAACCAATGCTATTTAAACTCCTTTGACATCTTGAATACATTTACCTCAGAAAACTAATATACGGAGTTAATAAATATGAAAAGTTTTGCTGTACTAAAAAATGCTGTTTCAAAAAAATTTATCATTAGGACAGATCAACAAGGAAAAATGAAGGCTTGAAGGCTGTTAGACTTATACCTAGGTAACATTTAAACATTTTTCCAGAATGAAAATAAAAATGGCAGTAAAGAATGCAGAACAGGGACTTCCCTGGCAGTCCAGTGGTTAAGACACCGTGCTTCCACTGCAGGGGGCATGGGTTTGATCCCTGGTCAGGGAACTAAGATCCCGCATGCCATGCGGCATGGCCCAAAAAAAAAAAAAAAAAAAAAGGAATGCAGGACAGCAAGATATAAACCAACTGTAATTGAAAAAACCAAAAAAGAGCTTGCTATTTAAGGAAGCAAAAAGCACACATTTATTCAGAGTACACGATAAGAATTCACTCATTTTTTTAATCTGACACACAAGCTAAGAACAAAGGTGAAAACAGATTACCCAGGAATAGGGATGTATCGGAGTCTCTTTGATTGGAGATCAGTGACTTCTATATAACCAGCTGTTTGTGGAGGGATAACATCTGCAAACAAGTCAAGACACGAGCCGAGGGTTAAATTACTGCATGATACAAAAATAGGACCTAAAGAAAGCATGGATGCTGCTAAAAGTGGAATGAAGTTTAGAGCGTAGAGCAGAACTCTGGGACCCACTTGACAAGGTCCTGGGCTGGCCAATTCCAGCCTTGAGGCGAGACTCTCAGAATTATGTTTTTGTCAGGGAACTACAGAGACTGTGAAACAGATGCATGTTAGTGATTCTTTACTGTCAAGAGCACTACCTAAATTCCTTTCATTTTCTTTGATAGCTTCCCCAAATGGGTCAATGTTTTATTTTAGCACTTACGGTTTATTTGAAAATATTTCATCATTTGAATTCTCTTTTTCCTTCCCAGGAAATCACAACGACGACGGTATAACACAGTGGAATCAGCACCTACTTTGAAACTGGACTGGCCTGGTAGAAAATCCTGGCTCTGATATTTCCTAACTATGTTTTACGCTGGCCAAGTTAGTTCTCTGAGACCTGCCTTCACCATTTGTAAAATGGGGATAACGACAGCATCTGAGCATCATAAACATTATTTGCACCCAATTAGTAGTTGTTCCACCCACAGTGGCTGTTACTATTAGGACCCTTCAAGACAAGAGAAGGTGAGGTGAGGACTGAGCAGTGGGGCGAGGACTCTGGGTCATGAAGAATATGAAAAGGCGGGGAAGGAGAGGGTGATGAGATATGGGGGAACAGAGTCCTCAACTCCAATTCTAGAGTTGTTTCCCAGCAAATTCCAGGCGTTTATTGACTTTTTCCCCAAAGCCCTGAGTACCACCACCATGCTCGTCATCACCAGCTGCCACCACTGTGTCAGCAACACTGCATCAGGAACACTGCTTAGTCTTTGTAGATAGTGTTTTTAACACTGACAACAACAAAGACCTTGGATTCCTGTTTGAGAGATGAGGAAGTAGAGACTTAACAGAGGTGGTATAATAATGGGACTTGCCTGGAGAGTGATAGATAGAGAAGGCTTTCAAAACCAGGCCTTTCTTCTGGCTTTAAGATCTCTGCTCTGCCCACCGCTCCACAAAGATCCTACCTGAGCTGACCGTAGGGCAGCAATTTAAAAATGCCTTATTTTACAAAATCTTGGCCACCAATGTCTCTTTAAAAAAAAAAATCCCCCTACAAAGAACCCATACTCTTAAAGAATTTTGTCTGTTGTCTACCTCTTATTATAATTTCTGATTAGAATGAGATATCCGGAATGTCCACATTGAATTTATCCAATGTAGTTTACAAAAAATAAGAAACTTGGCATTTTAATTTCATGTTTGCAGCTGAAGTTTTTTGAGTAGGCCATCTGAAAACCTCAATATATCTCTTATTTATTCAACAAACGTGATCGAGCTTACTTTGCACCAGACACTATACGAAGCATTGGGGATACACAGGAAAGAGATGTGTGTGGTTCCTGCCTTGTCTGAGGAGCCCACAGCATAAAGAGGAAAGCTCCTTTTTTTTTTTTTTAAATCATTGTGAGCCTTTAGGGACTTCGAAAGGATTTTAGGGTGGGAATCACAGCCCTGGGGCCAGGTATGAGCTGCAGAGCTAGGCACGGAGTGGTCCCAGAGGGCAAAAGGGGGCAGGAGGAAGGGAAAGTGATGTCCACGGACAGCAGAGAGTAAGGAAGGAGAGTTACTATGGTAACCCGACCACCCAGCTGAATTGGCCATCCTCAGATAGCCATTTGTACAAAGCCAACATGCTTATCGTAAGTCATGCACCGCCTGCATTGGAAACGTTGCCTGGGATATAAGGTCAGTCTTGGACAAAGTTTTGCACCATATATCATTTTTGACAGTTCCTGCGGCTAGCACCTAACTGAAGTGGGTTGAATTACTTATAGACCCTGGTTCTTTGCCAAAAAAGATGAGTTACTGAAGCGGCTGGGATCACTAGCGCTGTCTAGCTAGCCAGCTGCATCTGGCCTGCCACCTAGACGCATTCTCCTTTTCACAAGTAGTAGTATTAGACTGAGCTACCGCCACCAGTGCTTTTAGACTGACTGAGAAAGCAAAGTAAGCCAACACATTTTAAGTATCTTTCTTTCTACAGCTTTCTTTCTTTCTTTCTTTCTTTTTTTTTTCAGTGTGCAAGTTAATTCCATGGCATAAAGAGGATGAGAAAATGCAATAATGGCTGTGTCTATTTCAGGAAGGAGAAAGCAAGAATTTTATTCCTTGCGCTAAAACATATTTTCACGTATCAGAAAAGGCAATTTGTGGCTATAAAGCACTTCAAGGGTGGTGGTAGTGATGGTGGTAATGGCACGGCTTGAAAAATAATCAGAATGGATGTTTCCGGATTTGAAAATAAATCAGCTCAGAATACATGATTGAATTAAGGAAGTGAAAACTGTGGCCAGATTTCCCTCCAAACTTAGCCAAATCCTTGTCTATCCATTTTAAATGTTTCAAAACTGTAGAGAGGATGGAGGTTCAGGAAATTTCCATTACATTTATAATCCAGGTGGATTTCGAAGAGAGGTATAAATAGTTCAGGATTAGTTCACTAATGATTAAAGGGAAGTCACTGCTGCAGCATTTAGTGCGCGGTTCCCATATAGAGTGGGGACAGCTTAGACGCACAGTGCGAAGGTTAGGAGGGGGTATAAAAACCGTCAGACAAAGTAACCAAGAGCATTTTCAGAGGGAAGATGAAATTATATAAAAAATTCACTCCTTCAAGCAATGTAATTTGATGTACTTCTGTTAACTACTAGGTTAAATGTACTTCTGTATTCACAGATTAAAAGAGTGATGTGTGCCCTGAGATTGTGCTGATACTGAATCTTTGAATTTACTCAAAGTTCAGAAAACAGTACACTGCTTTCAATCAAGAGTCATTATTTTGTATTTAAAGAGCTGAGGCCTATGATTTAAAGTAAAAAAAAAAAAAACCTAATGTTTAACTAGAAGGAAAATGATTGGAAGAAAGAAGTAAATCTCTCCCCATCTGCATTAACCACAATTTATACCATCTCTGTAAAAGCCACCAGGAGAGTAGCCTTTACAATTGCTATTGATTTCTTTAATAAAAGGCTGATGTGCATTAGTTCCTGACTAATCAGGTGGTGGGATTCTATTTACTTTAAAAAGATTAATTTAGCTTGAATTACCATTAGAGATCTATAGGCACATAGATTAAAGAGTCAAACAGACGGAAGGAAAAAATCATCAGCCTTGACTTTCCTCCTCTCACCCCTCATGTTCTGCTCCCAGAGATGCTTTCAACTTCTTAAAGCTGTTTCTTTGGTATTCACCTTCATCCTTATGGTGCTGTCTTCATGTTTTAGTTTTAGGCATTATTTATTGACTTCTCACCATGTAAGATGAGAGTTTAACTCTTCACATACCCCTCCCCCTGCCTACCACCTCATTTTTCCCATCCCCCAGTACATTTATATGAAAATTTTTCATTAGATTAACATCCAGCACTTATGTTGTTATGATTATATAAATGCTCTGTACAGCTGAGCTATGCCTTATCATAGCGTTATTGCTTTTTCTTTTCATGGAGTTAATAATCATGCTTTGTTGTTGGTTTACTTTTTTATGTACCTAGCACAAATTCATCCTCGAAGTTTTCCCTATGTCAAAATTTCTTAATGTGTTCAAATAGTTGGGTTTATCAACTTCACTGTCTTGGAGGCATCTCTCCTGAAATCTTCTCAACTTTTCTAATCCTAGGAATCTGGTTGATTCCTAGGCCTGTGCACAGCTAGCATCCTGAGATCTCCCTTTACCATTCTCTTAGGATTTTTTTTTTACAGCCCACATTTAAAAAATTATTCCTGGGCTTCCATGGTGGCGCAGTGGTTAAGAATCTGCCTGCCAATGCAGGGAACACAGGTTCGAGCCCTGGTCCAGGAAGATTCCCCATGCTGCGGAGCAACTAAGCCCATACACCTAGAGCCCGTGCTCTGCAACAAGAGAAGCCACCGCAATAAGAAGCCCACGCACCGCAACGAAGAGTAGCCCCTGCTCGCCGCAACTAGAGAAAGCCCACGCGCAGCAACGAATACCCAGTGCAGCCAAAAATAAATAAATAAATGTATTTAAAATATTATTCCTTTGTGTCAGACACTAACCTAAGCACTTTCTATACATTTGGAATATTTAAGGAACATTACCTTAAAAAATGAGGATAAATAAAACTCCTAGCAACCAAGAGAAAAATGGCAAAAATATATAAACAGGCAATTTTCAGAAGAGTAAATCACAACATATAAAAAGATACTCAAACTTACTAGAAATCAGGGATGTGCACAATAAAAGGTCTGACCTTTGCAAGAGAAGATGGGGATGGTGAGTAGCCTCATCTTTTATGCTGCTGGAACAATAACTTTGGGTAACAATTTGGTAATTTCACTCTTAGATATATACCCTACAGACTCCCCACATATACACAAGGAGACTGGTACAAGAATACTTGTAATAGCAAAAAATTGTAAAGAACGTAAACGTGTACCAATAGAGAACAGATGAATAAACTGACTGTGCTGTATGTACAGCAGTGAAAATGAATGAAGTGTGGATGATGACAAAGATTCTCTGCTTTATCTAGAGAGTCTGGTATTAGTGAAAGGATAGACACATATTGTGTTGGCCAAAAAGTTCGTTTGGGTTTTTCCGTATCATCTTATGGAAGGTGTTATGGAAAAGCCCGAACGAACTTTTTGGCCAACACAATATAGATGAATGGAACACAAACAAAAATCCATAAACAGACTCACATATGTGGTCAGTTGATTTTCTGAAGAGGTCCAAAGACAACTGAATAGAAAAGGACAATCTTTTCAGCAAATGGTACTGGAACAATTGGCTATCCCCACGCAAAACAATGAGTCTCAATCCACACCTTGCGCCATATAAGAAAATTAACTCAAAGTGGAGTACAAACCTAAGTGTAAAATCTAGAAATATGATATTTCTAGAAGAAAACATAAGAGATTTGGCCCTTCACCAAAATGGGAGAAAATGTTTGGAAAGCATGTATCCGATACTGGACTTATATCTAGAATATATAAAGAACACTCAAAGATCATTAAAAAGAAAGCAAGTAATCCAATTCAGAAAGTGGGAAAAGATTTGAAGAGACGTTTCCCTAAAGAAGATAGATATGAAAAGATGCTCAACATCATTTGGCACTAGGGAAAATGCAAATTAAAATCATAATGAGCTATCACTACACACCTGCTAGAATGGTGAAAAACTGACAATACCAAGCACTGAAAAGGTGGCAGAGCAACTGGAACTTTCACCACTGCTGACAGGAATGCAAAATGGTATTGCTCTTCTGGAAACCAGTTGGGCAGTTTTATCATATGACATAAAAATGCCATTCCTACATATTTACCCAAGTGAAGCAAAAACTTATGTTCACTTAAAAATCTGTGCAAACATGTTCGTAGCTGCCTCATTAATTATTGCCCAGAACTGGAAACTATACAAATATCTATCAACTTGTGAATGGATAAGCAAACTGTGGTATATCCATGCAATGGACTATTACTCAGCAATAAAAAGGAACAAACAACTGGTACACACAACATATATGATTCTCAAATACATAATAGTAAGTGAAAGACACCAGACTCAAAAGACCACATACTGTGTGATTCCATTTATATGACATTCTGGAAAAGGCAAATCAATAAGGACAGAAATCAGATCAGTGGGGGTCTGGGGGAAGGCAGAAGGCTTGATGGCAGAGTGGCACAGGGGAGGTTTTTGGGGAGATGGAACTGTTCTCTGTCAGTTATGGTGATGGTTACACAACTGTATGTATTTGTCAAACTCACAGCACCATACACTAAAAAGGATGAATTTTACTCTGTGTAACTGGTCCCTAATAAGAACAAATGAGAACAATAAAATACTTAAATAACAACACTCTGTCTGATGTGTGGAGAATGGGGGGTGGGGGAAGAATGGAAGAGGGAACTCTGTCAGAGGGCTACTGCAGCGTTCCAGTTCAAGATGGTGGTGATTTGGATGTTGGCAGCTCAACTGTAGACAAGTGGGTGGACGTAAGGTATATTAAGGTTGTATCAAAAGGACATGTTGATTGATGATGATGTGGAGGATGAGGGAGAAGTATCAGGGCTGACTCACTGGTTTCTGGGTGGATGAAGGTGCACTGAATTCTGGTATAGAATTTCTTGTAACTCCTGGAGTGCTCTGCAATGCCTCTGTACCTTTCTCACGGGGTTTTCTCTTCCTGGAACAATTCCTTCATCCAATTCCCTCCCACTGTTCTTTCAAGAGTCAGCTCGGAATCACAAGCCTGGGTTGTAAGCTTCTCCTTTGTGTTTATATATCACCTTGTGAATATGCCTATAGCACTGCACTGCAATTGTCAGTGTATTCACCTGCCTCTTCTACCATAAAAAACATTCTAAGGAAATGGTGATTTATTTGGAAGGAACTAATTCTAACATTATCATATAACCAGGACTTTTCAAACCCAGTAACAGATTATTATAATGTGTTTAGTATTATATTTATGAAGTCCACACTAATATAATGAATGTAAACACAGGACAATATTACTACCACTATGATGCAAATAACAATCAGTGGCTCAATGATCAAAAATTTTCATAATTATCCTTTATGATGAAAGCCAGTGTGGTTCAGTAAGCATAGCTGTGGCCTTGGGTTGGAAGACTTTGGTGCAAATCTGGGTTCTGCTGACCACTGCTGGGGAGAACCCCGGCAAGTTACTTTACCTCTCTGTCAGTTTCCCTGCATATAAACTTGAGAGTACATTAATGATAGAATGGGAATTTGACGATTAAATGAATTTATACAAGGAAAAGTGATCAGCACAGGACCTGGCATAAGATATGCAGTAATAAACATAAGTTGACTTTCAGAGCACTGGTAAGTGAATCAGGCTGCATAAGTCCCTGGCCTTTAGACACAGGAGTTTAAGGCAAAAGTCTTAAACTCCTATGAGAAGTTTAGTGAAACCCTTCTGAGCACATATAGGTCTTTTTAGCTACTAAACCCTGTTAAAATTATTCATATTCATAAATATAAAATGATAATGATAAGTTAAATATCCCTACCAAAACCAAACTACCTTTGACTAGCTTGATAAAATAGGAATGGTAAGTTTCTTACCTTTTGGGTAGATATCTTTTAGAGGGACTTCTCCTGGGGGCAAAATCCTGACTATCTGATTAATATCCAAAAGCGTCACACAATTGCTCTGCTTTGGAGTTCCAATTTTCTTCTTCCCTCCATAGAATGTATCAGTGACCCTCGATTTATGCAAAGACGTTGGCCTTTTCCAAGAATAAACTTCACTAGGTGACTAAAAAAAAAAAAGGAGAGAAATTCAAGCACTGAAGTATTATAAACTACATTCACAACTTTTACAATGCAGTCCTTTAAGCAGATACCAGTGGTAAACGTATTTCACAAATATAAGAAAATCAAATTATTCCTTAACCTTTTTGAATTTGGCACAGAAGATAGCTGCTTCATCAATAATCATAATTTTCAGACAAGTGTGAAATATGCAACACATTTTTTATCTTGAATTATAGCTAAAAAGAGGGAATATAATAATACAGGTAATTTAAGTAACTATAAATAAATAACTATACTATAGCATCTACTATCTGGCATAAGGAATAGTATTACCAGTATTTCTCAAGCCCCTGGAAGGCCCCTTTTCAATCACCTCTCTTTCATATTCCCTAGATTTCAATTCTTCTGAAATTTTGTGTTATTTTCTCTTGCTTTACTTAAAATTTTTACCACATAACTATTTATCCTTCTCTACTCCAAGATCACAGATATTCTCCTATGTATTTGTTAAACATTTTGAAGTTTTGCCTTTCACATTTAGTTCCTTAACCCCTCAGGAGTTTATTTCTGAGAGTGGTATGAGGCAGGGCTCCATGCTTATCTTTTTTTCACATGGATAACTAATTGTTCAAATATCATTAACCTTTGCCCACTGATCAGCACTGTTATCAGAAAAGTTTCATGTATGTAGGCAGCTGTTTCTGGGCATTCCATTCTGTTCTACTGTATATTTTTCTACCCCTAGGCCAATACCATGTGGTCTTAGTTACTAAAGCTTTATAATAAGCCTTGAAATTTAGTTGGGCAAGTACCTCTGCTTTTTTTTTTTTTTTTTTTTTTTTGCGGTACGCGGGCCTCTCACTGCTGTGGCCTCTCCCGTTGCGGAGCAACAGGCTCCGGACGCGCAGGCTCAGTGGCCATGCCTCACGGGCCCAGCCGCTCCGCGGCATGTGGGATCTTCCCAGACCGGGGCACGAACCCGTGTCCCCTGCATCGGCAGGCGGACTCTCAACCACTGCGCCACCAGGGAAGCCCTACCTCTGCTTTTTATTCTTGGTTCTTCTTCAGAAATGTCTTGGTTATTGTTTGCCCTTGCTCTTCCATAAGCATGTGTGAGAGTTGCATTTGCATTGCATCCTTGTCAGTACTTGGTATTGTCAGTATTTATTTATTTATTTTTTTTAGCCATTCTAATAGGCAATAGTAGTATCTCATCGTAGTTTTATTTTGCATTTCCCTAGTGGCTAATGATGTTGAACATCTTTTCATGTACTTAATTACCATCCATATATCCTCTTTGGTAAAGAGTCTGTTCAAGTCTTTTGCCCATTTTTTTTTATACATTTACCTCCGATTTTATTTCTATATCTACTTAAATACGTTGAAAACCATGAGTTCACCCAGATACACACAATTCCAATCCAACCACTATAGGACTCACTCTAGTTTTCTTTCCTTCTGTATCTGTAACTCCCTTCTTTAACAGTGAGAAACCTAGACGTCATTACCCTTCATATACTTACTTTTTGGCTCAGTTCCACTGTATATGACTCATCTCCCATCTCCACCACTAACTCTCCCTCCCAGGCCAATGCCCTCCTCACTCTGCTTGGCCTGATAGCCCACACTGAGCTGTGCGCACGTATCAACAAACTCTTCACCTTACTTGGGCTCCCACATCCCACACCAGGATGCCCCTTCATGGGTACCATCTTCATCCTGGCTGGACTTGATTCCCAATCGCCAGTTGTTACTCCCTCCCACACTACAGATATCTTGCTCATCTGCTCAGCCTCTGACCTCTGACACCTCATAATGGGCCACTCTGCCCATTTTTTATACTGGATTATTTTCTTACTCTTGAGTTTTAAGAAATCTTTATATATTTTGGATACAAGTCCTTTGTTGGACATGTGATTTGCCAATATTTTCTCCCAGCCTGTAGACTGCCCTTTCATTCTCTTAACAGTGTCTTTTTTACAGAATGGAGGTTTTTAATTTTGAGGAAAGTCAAGGTATTAAAAAAAATTTCTAATGGATCATGTCTAAGACGCTCAGAAGTGGTGTTTAGTAGAAGTTTAGTAGAAGTGGTGGTAGTGCATATCCTTGTCTTACTCTTGATGTCGAAACAAATGCTTTTAACGTTTCACTACTGAGGATTCACTATGATACTTGCTGTCGGTTTTTGTAGCCATCTGGTAGTAGGTTAAGAGAATTATAATAAGTTCATAATAATTTAGGTGCCTTTGATAATGCTATAAAAAGTTAATAAGAGATGACATGCCCTTTTGTTAATAGTTTTGTGAAGAATCAAAAGAAATTCACATAAAGTCAGAAAGGCACTGTAGTATATAGTAGGAAGGATATGCGTTTGAGGGTCAGTCACCCTTGAGCACAAATCCCAGATCCCTTATTCAATATCTTTGTGGCCTGGGGGATATATCCTCTCTGTTTTTGTTTCTTTATCTATAAAACCTTGTGCAATTGTAAAAATTAATTATCATGTATGAAATGGTTTAGAATAGTAGAGTGCCTGACTTGTGTTGGGGTCTAAAAAATATGACTGCTCTCATAAAATGCTGAAAGGCTGTCTAACTGAATGATCTAATCTATCATTAAACAAAAATTCACGAACATCTCCGATATGGTGGGTAATAAATATGGAGATGCAACTTTTAATTTAACAAGGTCACTAGTCCTACAGTCTACAAAGGATTTCTAGAGGGTCAATATAAACATTACCTTATACTCAGCTTTCTTACCTTTTTATAGTGACATTATATTTCTATACTCATTTCTTCAATCAAAAGATCAATTTTTAAAACAGTTCCACCTTCAGAAAAGTAGCTCCAGTATTTTCTCTACTGATAGCAGCAAACATTGTAGAAAGCATATTAAACATAACTCTTTCATTTAATCAAGGCTGCCGTAGATGCTGTATTCCAACAACATGTTTCATTTTCAGGTACATAATCCACAGCACATGTTTTTTACTTGATAATTAAGAAGACATGTGGCAAAGTCCTAAGCCACACATTATCCACCGGGTTTTGGATTTCAAAAGTCTTATACCCTGAAGTACTCATCATTCATTAATTACATTAAAATTTTGAGGCAGGTGAGACTGGTGTACTATTAAGCAGAGCCAATATTTTTATCTTTAAGTGACTCTATCATCCCACCTAAAAGCTACAAAGGAAATTATGAAAATTAAATGTTTAATCAAAACACATGGAGTTACATCTAAGGTTATGAGATGGCAACTTGGGCTGAAATAACCTTTATATTTCATGTTCTCACATTTCCATCAGGGGAAGATGGTACCTAGTTTCACCTCAAGTCAATTATGAATAGCCTCTTCTTTACAGATAATAGTAAATAACAGCAGAAGGATCCATTTAAAAGCAAATTAAATTGAGACCACCAGCATTTATAGTATAATCTGGATGCAGCAAAGATATAAATCAGAGCAAAACTCAGTGGAAAGTGGACTGGTGTTCATGAGTGTTGAAAAATTTAACCTACAGTTATGAGACTCCAACATATTTCACTTTAAAAAATTCTGGAAGAAATATTATTTTGTTAGTCTCAAATTGTCCCTCGTGACAGATGACATGAGCACACATTAAGATAGCATGATATAAAATCACTGTCAGTAGGTTAACTATTTACCTGTCACATGAGCTCCCATGTATGGAGAATCCTGGTTTTCCTTTACTAAATTATATAATTGCACTACAATGTATATGTTAATTTTTAACAAGCAATGAAACCATATAGAATGAATTTTTTAATGACTGGTCTGGAAAACAGAAGGTTGATCTGAAATGCTTACCAGAAAATTATTACGTTTTTAATTACCCCTCAAATAGGCTTATAGAGTATAGGCCAAAACGGGGGGAAGAAATAGTTATTCAATCATTTAAGAAATTTATGCTTACCATGAGATCTGGGAAACCAACAACGACTGTAGCATAACTATTCTCATCTGCAAGAATTCGGTTAGGAGAGGCAATCTTTTGTCCCACAGCTGAACTCAGATTTTCAGATGATAGTTGATGACTTGAAATTTTATGAGGTATGCTGAAGTCTGTTTCTAAAAAGTGTCAGAGAAACGTTAAACACCATATGCCCCTAAAATGCTCCAGGAATTAATTTTTGCAAGATTCATTCTCACCAACTCAAACAGAAAAGCACAAATCAAAAAAGAGAAAACGCTTTCAATTACACTCATGGCTTTTTGTCTGAGAAAACTCAGTTTTCACAATCATGGCATCTTCTCAAAGTGATTTCAAGTATTTATTCAAGAATTCAAATTTTTATTAGCAATCAAGATTAATATAATAGCACTCTGCAGAAAGAGGTGAAACTGGCCCAAACCAGTCTTAGCAATGGTATATTTTAGAATTTTTTTCATAATTACTTTTCATCCCCCCAAAACTGTGATGAACAAAGTAGAAATACTGATGGGCTGTGTAAAAAAGAAATGATGCAATCCTAAAATAGACTTGGAACCTACATATATGTAAACATTCTGACTTGTTAGTTTAAAAAATTCAAAGACAGAATTTAAAAGACGATAGATTCTTGCTTACTGTTTCTAGTGTAGTGACTAAGATTTCTTTTTTGGTATAAAGTTAACATGTTGATATTGTTGTCCTTAAATGATTCTAGAGGACAGTGTGTATGCAGGCATGTACCTATACAGCCACAAACACACAGAACACAGTATTTACCTTGTGTGACTCCAAACCCTGTGCTAGGCAGCTCCTCTTTCAGCACATACAACTGGCAAACCCTACTGTCCTCAGATTCGATGTGTGCAGGCTTAGTTAAAAGATATTTCCTGTAAACAGACAAAACATCTAAGTGAAAAGTCTTTCTTTTTCTAATAACTACGAGGCCAGACTAGGAAAAATCAGAGTTTCCATATCCTGCCCGCGCCCGCCAAAGCCTCCTTCTTTTTTTTTTTTTTTTTTTTTTTCGGTACGCGGGCCTCTCACTGTTGTGGCCTCTCCCGTTGTGGAGCATAGGCTCCGGACGCGCAGGCTCAGCGGCCAGGGCTCACAAGCCCAGCCGCTCCGCGGCATGTGGGATCTTCCCGGATCGGGGCACGAAGCTGTGTCCCCGGCATCGGCAGGTGGACTCTCAACCACTGCGCCACCAGGGAAGCCCCAAAGCCTCCTTTTTATATTCTGAGTATAATTTGCAGTTTCAGAGTTTCATCATGAATTAAAAAAATAACTTCTTAACACTGTATAAGAGCAGTGCATAATAACAACGCAGTGATAAATGTGAACTGAAAATCCAATACTTCCTGTAAGAGGAAGGGCCATTAAAAAAAAAAAGAAAAGCGACTCTAAAGAGACACATCCGTACTATCATGGAGCCTGCTGTTAATATGACTGATCAGCAAGTATGGGGGAGCCCAACCTCTGATTTGTGACCAGCTAAGGGACAGAAGCCCTCACTGCTGTAAACCTCTTGATCTACTTGTCTGTAAGATTTCTAATATAGGAATATATAAATAGCCAGGAATCTTTTGCAGCAGGTCACTTCTGCTTGTCAGCAGAGGGCCAGAGAATCTGCATGAATCCAGTAGGTGTAATGCATGAGGGAGGGTGACTCAAAATTTACTGTGCACCCCACTTATGCCGAGTGCACATAATGTCCTTTTCATCAAGAAGTATACGGTCCAATGGAAGAGGCAACACAAACATAAACATAACCAAATAAGAGCACACGAGATAAAATGAAGAAGAAGCTTCTAAGGGGTGGATTCTGTGAAGTTACAAAAAAGCAACAGCATTTGGATGGAGACTGTGGCCCTTTGAAGAGAGGATAAACTAAAAATCTATTTCGAAGTATCTCTAGTTTGGCAAGAATACAGTGAATTCTCAGTGTGCTAACAGGAAAAATCCTAAAGAAATACAGATCAGTTGTAAAAGTCATTATGTTTTCACTGTTAATTTCAAGGTCATCTTCTGAAACACTTTTATAATTACTCTGCAAAGTTACATTTAATTTATTTAAATTTTCCCGTCCCCTCTTCTTCGAAGTTTCACCTATAGAGATGCTGCCAAATACAGAAATTGTTAAAAGACAGACACAGGAAGACAGAGCTGGCTAACTGAGACAGGATGCTGGCTAACTGAGCACACTCCATGAGGTGCTACGTAGATCTACCCACTGATGTGTTTTGCTCTCCACCAGAAGCCATTTGTCTTCTGCTACGAGAAAAACTGTCTGGAGGTTGATGGGAAGTGAGATGGTGTGAGTTCGCCCTTCTAGAACATCCAGCACAGCCAGGGCGTTCCTGAAAACAACAAAAAAGAAAACTGTCTGAAAGGAAATGGTGAGGATATTGGTTGAGTAACCATGGCACAGTCATTTCATGATATATTATACAACCCTAAAAACAATGTTTTTAAGACTAGATAATAACATAGAAAAATGTTAATTGAGAAAATAGATATATAAAACTCTAAACTATATAAAGGTATGCATAAGAATTAAAAATGAGAAGTGAGAGCGGCCATGCTAGTAGTGGTTGTAGACGGAATTATGGGCAGTGTCTTTTCTTAGGTCTGTTTTTCAATGTTCTGCAATGTGGGATAAGATACTTTTAGAATAAAATATTTCTAATTTTATTACATTAGTTTTACAATAAACAAGCATAATTAAAGGAGGAAATAGAATGGACACAATAAGGATCCCAGATTAAATCTACAACAAAGAGCTCACCCTTTTTCTTTGTAGAATACTAGCCAGTTTTTGTGTGCAAATTCTTTACACATTTTGTAAGTTTCCTAGAGACAAAACAAAACAAAATATTCACTTTAAATGTGTCAGATGCATTCATGTCTATTCAGCTGCTTTTCCTTAAATAAAGTTCTTCAAAGTGTAAAACATGTAATTCTCTGAGAAGCTACCTCTTTATCCACTCCAAGACTCTTACGGTAACATAGATTAAAATATATTTCAAAATTAATTGTGAACTGCATACTAAAACATCTTTAGAATAATGTTTTAGGGGACTTCCCTGGTGGTCCAACCAAATAAATAAATAAATATTTTTAAAAAAGAATATTAAAAAAAATGCCAAATACTGGTTAGAAATAAACATGCTATCTGGTGATTAACTGTGGAATTTGTACCACAGCATAAATACATAGGAAATATTTTGTTTCTTAGATTTGGATATATTTATGACATTTAAAATATCTCTTTTCTTCGTGGTCTTTTAAGACCTAAGTATGCTGTCGTGCAGGGCAGAGGGTAAGCCTTATTTTATATCCATTATCTTTTTCTAAATGGCAGAAAAAATTCTCGTTGGTTAGCCAAAATGTTTACTAGCTTAATTTAGTTAATAAGCTAAAACGTTTATTTATCTAGTAAATGTAATCAGCTGTTGCACTCATAGGTTCATTACATAAATCCAAACATAAACTCGTAACTGGAAAACTATTAAAGTGACTATTAAAGTGCATGTTAGGGATTTGTCATGAATACCACACTCAAATGGCTCATGATGTCCTATTATTGTGAGTTGCGTCCTGACAAGTCTTCATGTGACTATGATGGATACAAAAAGAAGCTACTGATATTGAATTATATATGTATGTATTCTACCTATTTGTATCATATTAAAATTTACAAGTAATAAGAGAATTCTCTTGTGCATTATAGCAAACAAAAGGCACCGCAAGGGATGGGCAGGCATGCATTTTTACGGTTAGAAAGCTATGGAAAATCCTTGGCAATTTGCTGGACAAGTTGGGTATTTCTTACAGCTTCCTCCTTGTTCCACCAGGAAGTTTTCTTAAGTGTAAACTCTTCTGAAGGTAAGATGAGACGATGAAGGGCTTGGCTAGTGGTATCCAACAACAGGATGACATTGCTCTGGAAATAAAGAGAACAGTTTGTTTGTTTGCCTGTTTATTTATTTATTTATTTATTTATTTAATTAATTTAGCAGCAGCCTCTTGGCAGCCTGGGAATAAAGGGAATAGCGATAAATAAACCAAAGGGAAGACGACAATATTGAAATATTTAAGAGACACCATGAAGACACTAAATGTTTTTCCCTAATACAGAATTTAAAGTATTAGATGGTTTAATGAAGATATTTCTAATTATGTAATGCAGAATCTTCTCTTTGAAGATTTTATCTTAAAACCATCGCCTTGTAAATATAGGCTAGCTTAACCATAATTGCTGTTTTATTACATACAAATGAGGAAAGTAAGAGAACTGATAATTTTAAAAGCCCATTTACTTTTATCAAAATTACACTTAAAGAAGGTTCTGTTGAAAACTCTCTTACGCTGTGCATAATTGAATCTCATTTATTCTTTTCACAAATCCAGGTTCAACTCAGAAAATATGTACATGTTATAAAGATGGGTTAGCAAGAAAATATCAAGGACCCCAAGAACCTAGCTAGTAATGAGTGTTTCATCTTGACATTCACTAAGCTTGAGAACTTTCATAGCTGGTGCTGTAATAACGTACAGACAAGAGATTGCTCCAGCAGCATTATCACAGTTATGCAAATGAAGTAGTAATCTCTCAGTAATTAGGAGGACTTTTTCAAGAAAAAAATTAAAAAAAAAATTAACCTTAGGCATTAAAATAAGTGAACAGAAACACATGAAATAAGAATTTAAAATTGAGAAAGCCAGAAAAGATTAAATATTTTAAAGACATGCAAAGAAGTGGTCTTTTTTCATTAAAATTTAAAGACATTTGAAGATTATACTAACAGGTTTACAAAAAGGCACCAGAAAGTTTTTTGTCAGGAACTGTCTTTTCTTTCTTGTTTTTGTTTATTTTGTCTTATTTTGTTTTGTTTTAAATTTGGGGCCCCTTCAGTTATCTTAACCCTTATGAACTTTTCATTTCAAGAACTTTCTTTGGGGAAAATAAAATCACAAAGCACCCGAAGAATTAATATATATTTTGCAAAATATATACAAAACATGAAAAGTCTGTTCACTTGTTCCATAACATTTATCGAGCAGCTTATATTTAAAGCACAAAGGAGAATACAATGATGAATTAACCATGACCCTTGCCCTTTATTACTTAATCCAGTTAGAGGGAAATAAAAAGAAATGTAAGTAGAGTAATGGTTCATCTGCAAATCTGAGACCTCATAGTGTGGTTTCAATTTATTTTACTAGTCAATTTTACTGAAATGCTCAAGAATTAAAGTAGTATTTGTTCCAAAGTCTCCTTTATTCCATATACTCTGAATCTTGGCTGTATTAAAAAATTCTACCAAGCATGTTGACAACGCTTAAATTTTTCCATAAACACTCTTAGAATGCATCATTCTGTATAATATGTAATTCTCCATTAAGAATGTGTGTTAGTAATATTCTTTTTAAAATCAACATGTCATATAAGAAGCACCGTTCCTGGCATTTGAAAGTTTGAAAATGAGGAAAACCTTAAGGAAAACTCTTAAAGTTTTCCTTAAGAAAATGTATTAATAAGTTAAAAATTTACAGTCTCTATTCTAGATTAAATCTTTTTTGAGTAAGTATTTTTTAAAGGAGAAACTCTCTCTTATGATAAATATGTACAACATTAACATGAATTGTTAGCACTTAAGCAATTTGGGGTAATATTAACTTTTCTAAGCAACATAAAGTTCTAAAAATAATGTTTGATCCCAAAATATGATTAAGTAGAAGAATAAGCAGATGATTAAACAGATATGATTATGCAGAAAAATTAGTACAGTTTTGCATTTTTCTTCCTTTTTAGGGTCTAATACTTATATACTCATAACTTTGCATAAGTGAACTGAAAAACTGCATCTTTCTAAATAACAGAAAACATACAGATATATATATATATATGTTTATATACACACAAATATATATGTTTCCAGCCACTGCTGTATTTAGAATTAGTTCTAGAAGCAATTGGCAACATGAAGGAGTTCTGCTGCTCCATCCTTTTAGATGTTAATGGTTTCCTTCTGTAAATGACTAATGATATATTCTGTCTGAGTTCAAAAATAGAATTCTGCATCACATATGAGTACATGTAACTGTGGTTTTGGCTCTCTTTTAAGGGGGGCAGGGAGGAGAAGGGAGTGAGCAATTTTATTATGTTTGTATTTGACTGGGAGAAAAGTAACCTCTGGATGACCTCAATGTCCTAAAGTCTGAAGTTCTAAACTTTGTACAGATGTAATAAGTAATCTCATGGGGCGGGTGGGGGGAGGAGGCTTTATTTTTAGGCATGGCAAAATTTCCCTTTCCTCACTTAAGATTTTATTTTAGCCAGGAATTTTTGAACAACTTCTTAAACTAACCAGGGAAATGTATCTGTTGCCAAGCTGTATAAAGACAAGGGAGAGATGAATTAATGGAAGTACTTCTCTACAATATTTTAGCTCCTTTGTCGGGGCAGAATGGGGGAGAAGGAACTGATGGCAGTGCACACATTTTTTATTCGATTACAATTATTTATCATTTGTTAACTTTTACAGTTACATGCTGTTCATCTGGAATTAAGGAGGTCTTAGATCCTAGCAGGGACATAATATAAAACCGACAGCTGATATATCCTCTCTAGGAAAAGAAGAGGCAGTTCAGAGTACAGGTAGCGAAAGTATCCTGATAAGCTGTGCGTGCCTGCTCAGGGCATTGAGGTACCCTTCTGGAAAACTGTTGAAACTGGTCTAAGGGATAAGCCAGGTAGCATGCAAGAATGCCAGGAGGGGAAGTGTGGGCTGTGCAAGTCAAGCACAGCTTTACACTGAAAAACAGATTTTCTTTGATGAAAGTCCTTATAAGTGAGCAGGGTATTGGTCAGCAATGTTGCCAAATAACTGGATCTTTTGAGAAAATAAAATACTTCCTGAGAACCTGAAAATCTCGTACTTTTAAAGAACTGGTATATGTAAATTTGACAGTTTATCTGACAGCTGAAAATCTGGCAAGATTGTTTGAATAAATACTCCAAATGCAGACTCCTATTTAAATTTGATTGGTTTCCTGAATCAAAAATCACCAAGACTGTGCTTTTTAGGACAGATTCTTCTGGCTATAGAATTCAATTCAATGGCATTGGTATTTTGTTGGAAATCTATAAAGTGAAACCCTTATTCCAATGTGATGGACACAAACCTTTATAAGCAATAGCTGGATATTGATAAATTCTGCTTCTAGGAGAAAGCCATATTGAAAAAAATTGTGAAAACCAGAAAAAATTTTATTAACTCAGAATTTATGATAATTATTTAGGCAAAGTCTAAAGTTAACTTATTTACTCAACGAAATACTGCTGTGTTACTTATGCAACTTTTTATTCTTGATTAGAAATAGTCTAAAAGTACTGTTTCTAGGTAACACTTTACTTTCACAGTGTGTTTAAATACTTAACAAGTAACAACATTACATTTTTTCCATATTTTCCTATTATGAATACTTTAAAAAATTTTCAGACCATTCTTTTCCCCACGTTTCTGCAGTGAGCGACAGCATGGATGAAGTTTAATTCTGGTGATGTCAATCCAATTTGGTTTGAACCTCAGTTCTACTATGTATTTACTGGGCAAGTTATTTAAACTTACTGAGACTCAGTTTTCTCACACGTAAATATTGCTAAAGCTACCTCGCTGGGCCTGTGGAAGAATAACACGGAATAATGTATGTAACCTTTTCCTTGACACATTTGTCAGCATTTAATAATTGATCCTCCTCCTTGAGATATTCATCACTTGCCGTCTGGGATACCACACCCTGGTGTAACCATCTACTTCACTGGGCACTCATTTTCAGTTCCCCTGGGTTGATTCATCCTCACCTCTCTCATTTCTTAATATTTCATTGCCCCAGGGCTTAGTCCTCAGACTTCTCTTTTCCACCCACATTCATTCCCTTAGTGATCTCTTTCAGTTTCATGACTTTAAATAACATTTATATGCCAGTGATGCCCAGTGTATGTTTCCTGTTCTGACTTCTCCGTTAAACACCAGGATCACCTACTTGGATATGTTATAGGCATCTCGAATTTAATCATACATCTAATCTTCCCCTCCAAAACAATTCCTTCCTCATCTCAGTTCATGGCAGGTCTATCCTTCCAGTTGCTCAGGCCCTACATCTTAAAGTTGATCTTAGTTTACTCTCTTTCACCTCATATATCTGATCTGTTCAGAAATCTTCTTGGTCCCACCTTCAGAATATATCCAGAATCCATCATTACTTATGACCGCCATCCTCCTCCAAACTGCAGTGATCTCTTGCTTGGACCATTGTAAAAATCTCTTCATTAATCTCCTTCACTCTGCTTTAGTACCTACAGACTATTCACCTAAGAGGAGCTGGAGAAATCTTTTAAAAATATAAGTCAGATCTTGCTTCTCCTCTGCTTGAAACCCTCTAAGACCTTCCCCTTTCCTCACAGTCAGGCCGCAGAACGTTAGAATGATTTACAAGGCTCTACACCTCTGCTTCCCCAGCCTTCCACCACGTCCCTGACCCAACCCACTGAGTGACCTCTTTGACCCCACCTCCTTATACCCTCCCCCTCATTCAGTCTTCCCCACCACGCTTCTTTAAAGATGGAGAGCCATGTTCCAGCCTCTGGGCCTTTGAACTTACAATTCCTTTGCCTAGAACTCTCTTATTCCTGATATCTCTTCTCTCCCTCACCTCTATCAGATCTTTGCTTAAATATCACTTTCTCAGTTAGGCAATCCCTGCCCGCCCACCCTGTTTTAAAGGCAACCTTCCTCCCAGCCTTCTATTTTACTCTCCCTTGCTTCTCATCTTCTGACTTAAGATGTAATTATTTACTTTGCTTATTGTCTACCTTTTGCACCAGAACGTAAGCTTTTGAGAACAAGGATTTTTGTTGTTTTGTTCATGGCAGTATCCCTAATAGTAGGCACATGATACATATCTGATGAATGAATAATATGCTTAGTATACTATTTGGTAGATACTAGGTGGGTAATAGGTCTGCAAAAACATTGTACTCCTTTCTATTGGATAGTACAGATTAACTTAGACCTGGAGAATTCTCATTAATTGAAACACTGTCTTTTGACCTATATCTTCTGTTTGGAATTACTTTTAGCCTGACTCTGGGCATCTGTACTTTTCATTAGTGTTGTCTTACAATAGTAGTGATGGCTGGAACTTGAGCATCATTAGATACTAAAGAATCTCAGTGTATTCCTGCGATGGCCTGATGCCCTCCCAAAATTTGTAGTCTGAAGTCCTAAGCCCCAATATATTAGGAAGTGGGGCCTATGGAGATGATTAGGTCATGAAGGTGGAGTCTTCACGAATGGGATTACCACCCTTATAAAAGAGAAACGAAAGAGATCCCTGCTCCTACTGCCGTGTGAGGCTACCATGAAAAGACAGCTGTCTAGGAAGTGGGTTCTCACCAGACGCTGAATACGCAAGTGCCTTGATCTTGGACTTCCTAGGCTGCAGAACTGTGAGAAATAAATTTCTTCTGTTCATAAGCTACCTAGTCTATGGTACTTGTGTTGCAGCAGCCCAAACAGACTAAGACAATTCCATTCAGTATATTTACATGGCTATCTCCACATAAAGAATGCCATTCAGGTTTCAGGTAAAATGTCATCTCCTAAGGGGAGATATCTCAGCACTCTTTTGAGTACCGTTTACCCTTTCATCTCCTCCTACCCTACCCCCATCATTCCTTAGGACCTTACCTTATTTTTATACAGCACCTATCACTACTTGAAATTGGTATTTATTTGTTGGCTTACTTGTTTGTTGTCTATCCCCGCAAAGAGAATGTAAGCTTCACAACAAAGAATTATCTAGCCTCAAATGTCATTAGTGATGAGGTTGAGAAGTCTCTGCAGAGAGGAAGATATTAGCCTGCCTTGTGGTACTGATAAAATACAACTCCTGATCCCGTCCTTCAGCCCCTGACCTCAATCTTTATGAAAGCACATATTTTTAGTTATAGGTTGAAAAACACTCTTGCCTTCTCCTTTGCATCAGTTACCCTGGGCATCATTAGACCATGTCATTACCTGCTGCTCATGGAGAATCACTTGACCCTTGAGGGGATTTCCCAGCGGCGCCACTGTCACAAATGGGTGCCAGACTCCACTGGCCGCTCTTGGGAAGATGTCAAAAAGGTCCACAAAGTAGCCGCTTTTCCCAGTCATATTCATAAAGTATAAGGAAACGGGATTGCATGCAACTACATAGAGAGTATTTTCCTCATTTTCTGAAATGACAAAAAAGTGTCAATTCCATGGTCTGCAATAGATTTTCTGACTGGTCAAAAGGTCCAGTGAAAACTGAATCGTGAGGCAGCACACAATCAGAACTCAGCAGATGATTTGCAAATGGATTGATTAGGTTGAAGAGCACTTTCAGAAGCAATTTCGCACCTGCTGTAAATGTACATTGGGTCACACCTACCTATTCCTGGAAGTATCTGGTCCCCAAAGAATCTATAACATCTCATGCTAACACCATTAAATATTTAACACTCCTCAATGTCAGGAAATTCTTCCTTGCATGAAAGTATTTTATGCCTCAGTAAAAGTCTGTTCCCTCTTATTTTATTATTGGCTCAGATGGACAACAGCTGGTCAACATCTTCTATCTGCTAATCTGGCATTTCCCGGCTAGTTACTAGATCTTTAGGCTTTTCTAGTAAATAAGTAATCCCATTTTTTGTTCTTAGCTCTATGGATCTTATTTTCCAAATTATCTTTTTTCATATTTGTGTATTTATTATTACAAAGTCTCTGTCTTTTCAAACTAGTACTTGACTAGGTCCATTTTTTGAATTCTATTTCAGTGCTTCTTCAACTTTCAAGTGCATGTGCATCACCTGGGGATCTAATGAAAATGCAGATTCTGATTCAGTGGGTCTGAGGTGGGGTTTCAGACTCTGCTTTTCCAACAAGCTCCCACGAGATGTCACTGCTGTTGGTTTGAGGGCTTCCCTTAGAGAAGCCAGACTTTGGACTATGTTTCCCATAATCTCTATTTCTGGGAACCTTGAAGCAAGGGATTAAGCTGCTTCTGTATAATAAATGCTATTAACATCACTCATCATCCAGGTATCTATTTACAGTGGTCATATTTTCTGAACCCAAAACTAAGACACAAGATATGAAAATCTGGAAAAAAAATATAGTGTATGTGTGTGTGCATGTATATGTCATGTCTACACATAAAGACTAAATATATATAAAGATATAGAAAACTTAAATATATATAAATATATATAAAGATATGGTAAATTTAAATAAGCTAACATTGATAAGAAACACAAATCAATGGAAGGGCAGAAGAAGACATATGATTTAGGAGACAATGTGAACTCTGTGTGTGTGTGTGTGTGTGTGTGTGTGTGTGTATGTGTGCTACAGTTCTAAATATCAGATAGAATCACACAACTTATAATTTAAGAATCTTTTTAATGCTTCTACTATCAGCACAAATAAGTTCAATTCAACATTTATTGAGCACCTTTGTACACAGTATAGGGACCAGGGAATAAAATAACAGTATTAATAGAAATGTAAAAAGAGAAAAATAAATAGAAATGTACTTCACGAACTTACAATTGCTCTCTCTTATTGCAGGCATTAAGTGCTGTTTGGTCTTCGGCTCAAATATATATACACACACACACACACACACACACACACACACACACACACACACACACACACACACATATATGTATATTTAACCCTGACGCTAACCCAAGAAAATGTTCTTTCCTCTCACCAATATAGAATAGGTAAAGAAACAAAGAAATAAAAAACAACACAAAAACCTAGCTTGCAAATGTGGACAACACTAAAATAGAGGGTTGAATTATGTGAGGGACAGCAAATGAGTTCATTTTTAAGGACCAATTCTGACTGGCTCACAGTGGCTGCCTGTGAGAATTGTGAGGCTGTGACAAGGTTTAATGACACGTGTCACTGGCATGGGGCAGAGGATCACAGCATACTTACTTACAATCTCTAAATGTGAGACAAGGGCAAAGTTCAAATTTTATCCGTAAGATTCATACTTAGTCTCTACTAGTGAATGTAAAATATCTTAATAGGGGCACCAATCTGTTACCAACAAAAACCCTGTACATTTTAAAAGCACATATTTTTACTCAACATAGCTGATGTTGGAGAAAACATCCACAGAACTTACATGAACAAAAACTTGCTTCTGAATTTTTGCCTGAATAACCTCCATTGTAGACAAGTTAGAGAATTTCTCCCTTTCCCCTGCCATCACTTCTGTTTATATCACCTTGGTAACTGCCATCAATTGAAAACTTCTGCCAAAAAGTACCCAGGGCACACCGCATGAATCAGTAGGTAATGGCAACAGTCCAGAGACGCAGATGCCAGAAATTCACATCTTTTATTTGCCATTCTTTACAACGAGAGGTTTAATGACTGCAAATCCTCCTGCTTTCAGGGTTCATGCAATCACCAAACTGGAATCCGAGCCAAAAAAATCCAATGTTTTTCCTTTTTCTTTCCCTCTTCTATTTTTAGCACACGCCTGGGTGTGTTTAACTTTGTGCTACAATTGTAATGAGAAGCAGACATATGCATATAAACTCAGCAGTGCTTATGTGGATTTCACAATAGTATTTTGTTAGGTTGTTATAGGAAATTAGTTCTAAATTACATACAATTGCTATCCAATCCAAGAATGACACAGTTATTGAGTCTATCATAGACTTCTTGATGTCTACAGGTTATTTTGATCCTGCTTTTAAAAAAATCAGTGCAGGAAGGAAAAATCAAAAGAATAAACTGACATACCATGTGATGTAGCAATGTCACAGATTAGGTTAATTTCATCCAATGGTAACTTCCAGGAGGCACATTCTTCAGTAAAGGTTTGGGATCTTCCTTCATGTCTTTCTATTGGATACTCCTGTATGTTTATAAGTGCTGGACCCTACAAAAAATAGTTATCTGAGTTAAGACATTTGTGTAGTTGGCAAAAAGTAGAAAAGCTAAAGTTCTTCCAAAATACAGATTTTCAGTTCAAATATTCCACATCCTGATATGCCTCTTCTCATTTTACTGACTAGCATGACACTTATAACAATCATAATACCATATACTTGCATTTATAAATGCTTTCACATGTGCTATCTTATTTAATTTCTCACTTCCTTTTTTTTTTTACTCACAAAATATAGCAGATGTAAAATCCCATAGGAGTTCTCATTCCTTCATTCTTTCCTAAGCCAACAGCAAGTTTTGAACTTCAAGTATTGGGACACAGAGCTGTCCAAACCAGAATAATTTTTTAAATACAGTTGACTCTTAAACATTGATTTGCATGCCCTTACAGTCCTTAATTAATCAAAAATGTTTGGGTTAGATATTTACTATTTTGCCATCCATGGGCGCTCTCACCCCTTCTATCTAGGCTGTATCTTAGGAGCTAGAAGATTAAAAACGACATTCCTCACACTCCTATTGCAACTAGCGACTGATACTAGTTAATGTACTGTCTGAGGCTGCTTTTTTGCTCCCATGGCAAAGTTGAGTAGTTGTGACAGAATCCGTATGGTCACAATGCCTAACATATTTGCTATCTGGCCCTTTACAGGAAAAGTTTGCTGATCCTGCCTTACTGTGCAGCTCCCAACAACAGGGGTGGTAGCAGAAGCAAAAACACTCATCTTGAAACCAAAAGTCCAGCGATGGTCCCTTGACTCTGTTCCTCCTGTCCTTTCTAATGATTTTATAAGCATCTAATTCCCCACAGTCAAACCTAGAGGGGTTTCTATTGCAACTAGTGACTGATATTCCTTTGCCCTTTTTCACGAGAACAAATATAATGGAGTAACCATCCTATCTGACTTTCCTGAAATACAGGATAGCTCTTAGGAATTCTACTGGTCATTAGCCATTACCTACATTGAGTCCCTCAGAGGCCAGACTGGCTTAAGAGTTAGAGCAGAAGTTAATCTATTCTAAAATAACATCAGAACAAGTCATTTCTGAGATTGAATGGATTTTCTCCAGGGAAGATATAGAAAAATGGATAACATTCAATATTCTAATGAAGAAAGAATGATATCAACCTTTACATCTATGCGATGAGTTTCTGCTGGACACAATAGTTTTTGCATTCCATTTCTTGACTGACCAATTGTCCAATAGCCCATGAAGGTCTGCTGTGGCAAAGGCAACCTGTCAAGGATTAATTTGAAGAATAAACACTTCTTCTTGTTTCCAAGTCATAGGAAAAAAGAATGAGCCATATATTACCGACCACACAAGCAAATTTGAAGAATGCTTGACTTAGAAGTGAGTTATATTTAATTTTATTAAAAGATAGTCTTTAATATGATATTTAAAATATACTTTGAAAAGAAAAAGATTTCACATTTCAGAAACTCAGAAGGTAAGGTCCTAGTCTGTTTTTACCTTAATGACAAATATAATTAGGGTTTACATATTTTTTCCCTGAATTGGTAAATACTTAGCAATTTAATATCAAATTCCCATTACAGTATAGGAAGGATTTAGGAAAAACAATGGAGCAATCCATCCATTTTTTCATTCTATTCTCCTAAATTTGAAATCAAATAATAAATAGTACACAGTACTACCAGTCACATGCTTGTAAGTTGTACAGGGCAAGTTTCATAGGGTCTATCTTAGCACTTTAATTTTTTTTTTTTAACTTTGACTTGACATATAATATACCTACAGAAACGTTCATATAAATGTGCCACTTAGTCCTGAGCACACGTGTGAGTCCAGCACCCAAGCATCACCAACACTCAGAAACTCCCATGGACCACTTCAGTCATTACCCCTACCAAGGGAGCTACTATTCTGACTTCTAATGGAATTATTCTGTGTTTAGATTCCATTTTATTTAAAATTACATTTAAACAAAATAACTTGCGAAAACAAATATAGCAACGCTAAAGTACAAAACCACAGACAAATTCTTTAGAATAAGTTTTTACTTTTTAATCATACTACCTTTTCTTTGAATCTTTAAAAGAGGAACCATAAATTTGTCACTTAATTCATTATAAATTTCTTATTCCATGGTAAGTGAAGGCCAAAAATGATTCAGAGTTAAAAGTTCTTTAAAACTAAGGCACGTATATGTGGCTATAAATTGAAATGTATGCTTGAAATGAGCGTGATGATCATTAAAAGAGTACATATTGATATTTAGAAAATCATTTTATTTTCAGTGAAAGAGTAATCTGACAAAATATCTCCATATACTTAATAAGACCATACAAGGCTTAGATTTTTTTTGCATAGAATACGAAACCAGAGAAGATTGGTTCAAGATGGCAGAGTAGAAGGATGTGCTCTTACTCTCTCTTGCAAGAACACCAGAATCACAACTAACTGCTGAACAATCATTGACAGGAAGACACTGGAACTCACCAAAAAAGATACTCCACATCCAAAGACAAAGGAGAAGCCACAATGAGATGGTAGGAGGGGCACAATCACAACAAAATCAAATCCTATAGCTACTGGGTGGGTGACACAAACTGGAGAACACTTATACCACAGAAGTCCACCCACTGGAGTGAAGGTTCTGAGGCCCACATCAGGCTTCCCAATCTGGGGTTCCAGCAATGGGAGGAGGAATTCCTAGAGAATCAGACTTTGAAGGCTAGCCGGATTTGAATGCAGGACTTCGACAGGACTGGGGGAAACAGAGACTCCACTGTTGGAGGGCACACACAAAGTAGTGTGTGCATCGGGACCCAGGGGAAGGAGCAGTAACCCCACAGGAGACTGAACCAGACCTACCTGCTAGTGTTGGAGGGTCTCCTGCAGAGGCAGGGGGTGGTTGTGTCTCACCGTGAGGACAAGGACACTGGCAGCAGAAGTTCTGGGAAGCACTCCTTGGTGTGAGCCCTCCCAGAGTCCGCCATTAGGCCCACCAAAGAGCCCGGGTCGACTCAGGCCAAACAATTAACAGGGAGGAAACTCAGCCCCACCCACGAGCAGACAAGAGGATTAAAGTTTTACTGAGCTCTGCCCACCAAAGCAACAGCCAGCTCTACCCACCACCAGTCCCTCCCATCAGGAAACTTGCACAAGCCTCTTAGATAGCCTAATGCGCCAGAGGGCAGACAGCAGAAGCAAGAAAAACTACAATCCTGTAGTCTGTGGAACAAAAACCACATTCACAGAGAGACAGACAAGATGAAAAGGCAGAGGGCTATGTACCAGATGAAGGAACAAGATAAACCCCAAGAAAAACAACTAAATGAAGTGGAGATAGGCAACTTTCCAGAAAAAGAATTCAGAATAATGATAGTGAAGATGGTGCAGGACCTCAGAAAAAGAATGGAGGCAAAGATTGAGAAGATGCAAGAAATGTTTAACAAAGATCTAGAAGAATTAAGGAACAAACAAACAGAGATGAACAACACAATAATTGAAATGAAAAATACACTAGAAGGAATCAATAGCAGAGGCAGAAGAACGGATAAGTGACCTGGAAGACAGAATGGTGGAATTCACTGCTGTGGAACAGAATAAAGAAAAAAGAATGAAAAGAAATGAAAACAGCCTAAGAGACCTCTGGGACAACATTAAACACAACAACATTCGCATTATAGGGGTCCCAGAAGGAGAAGAGAGAGAGAAAGGACCCGAGAAAATATTTGAAGAGATTATAGTTGAAAACTTCCCTAACATGGGAAAGGAAATAGCCACCCAAGTCCAGGAAGTGCAGGGAGTCCCATACAGGATAAACCCAAGGAGAAACACACTGAGACACATAGTAATCAAATCGGCAAAAATTAAAGACAAAGAAAAGTTATTGAAAGCAGCAAGGGAAAAATAACAAATAACATACAAGGGAACTCCCATAAGGTTAACAGCTGATTTCTCAGCACAAACTCTACAAGCCAGAAGGGAGTGGCATCATATACTTAAAGTGGTGAAAGGGAAGAAACTACAACCAAGATTACTCTACCCGGCAAGGATCTCGTTCAGATTCGAGGAGAAATCAAAAGCTTTACAGACAAGCAAAAGCTAAGAGAATTCAGCACCACCAAACCAGCTTTAAAACAAATGCTAAAGGAACTTCTCTAAGTGGAAAACACAAGAGAAGAAAAGGACCTACAAAGCCAAACCCAAAACAATTAAGAAAATGGTAATAGGAACACACATATCGATAATTACCTTAAACATGAATGGATTAAATGCTCCAACCAAAACACACAGACTTGCTGAATGGATACAAAGACAAGACTCATATATATGCTGTCTACAAGAGACCCACTTCAGACCTAGGGACACATTCAGACTGAAAGCGAGGGGATGGAAAAAGATATTCCATGCAAATGGAAATCAAAAGAAAGCAATACTCATATCAGATAAAATAGACTTTAAAATAAAGAATGTTACAAGAGACAAGGAAGGACACTACCTAATGATCAAGAGATCAATCCAAGAAGGAAATATAACAATTATAAATATATATGCCCCCAACATAGGAGCACCTCAATACATAAGGCAACTGCTAACAGCTATAAAAGAGGAAGTCGACAGTAACACAATAATAGTAGGGGACTTTAACACCTCACTTACACCAATGGACAGATCATCCAAACAGAAAATTAATAAGGAAACACAAGCTTTAAATGACACAAGAGACCAGATAGATTTAATTGATACTTATAGGATATTCCATCCCAAAACAGCAGATTACACTTTCTTCTCAAGTGCTCATGGAACATTCTCCAGGTTAGATCACATCTTGGGTCACAAATCAAGCCTCAGTAAATTTAAGAAAACTGAAATCATATCAAGCATCTTTTCTGACCACAACGCTATGAGATTAGAAATCAATTACAGGAAAAAAATGTAAAAAACACAAACACATGGAGGCTAAACAAGACGTTACTAAATAACCAAGAGATCACTGAAGAAATCAAAGAGGAAATCAAAAAATACCTAGAGACAAATGATAATGAAAACACAACGATCCAAAACCTAGGGGATGCAGCAAAAGCAGTTCTAAGAGGGAAGTTTGTAGCTATACAAGCCTACCTCAAGAAACAAGAAAAATCCCAAATAAACTTTCTAAACTTACCCCTAAAGGAACAAGAGAAAGAAGAACAAACAAAACCCAAAGTTAGCAGAAGGAAAGTAATCATAAAGATCAGAGCAGAAATAAATGAAATAAAAACAAAGAAAACAATAGCAAAGATCAATAAATCTAAAAGCTGGTTCTTTGAGAGGATAAACAAAATTGATAAACCATTAGCCAGACTCATCAAGAAAAAGAGGGAGAAGACGCAACTCAATAAAATTAGAAACAAAAAAGAAGTTACAACAGACACCGCAGAACTACAAAGCATCCAAAGAGACTACGACAAGCAACTCTATGCCAATAAAATGGACAACCTGGAAGAAACGGGAAAAATTCTTAGAAAGGTATAACCTTCCAAGACTGAACCAGGAAGAAACAGAAAATATGAACAGACCAATCACAAGTATTGAAACTGAAACTGTGATTAAAAATCTTCCAACAAACAAAAGTCCAGGACCAGATGGCTTCACAGGTGAATTCTATCAAAAATTTAGAGAAGAGCTAACACCCATCCATCTAAAACTCTTCCAAAAAACTGCAGAGGAATGAATACTCCCAAACTCACTCTATGAGGCCACCATCACCCTGATACCAAAACCAGACAAAGATACTACAAAAAAAGAAAATTACAGACCAGTATCACTGATGAATATAGACGCAAAAAGCCTCAACAAAATAGTAGCAAACACGGGCTTCCTGGTGGCGCAGTGGTTGAGAGTCCGCCTGCCGATGCAGGGGACACGGGTTCGTGCCCTGGTTGGAGAAGATCCAACATGCCACAGAGGGGCTGAACCCATGAGCCATGGCCGCTGAGCCTGCGCGTCCGGAGCCTGTGCTCCGCAATGGGAGAGGCCACAACAGTGAGAGGCCTGCGTACAGCAAAAAAAAAAAAAAAAAAATACTAGCAAACAGAATCCAACAACACATTAAAAGGATCATACACCATGATCAAGTGGGATTTATCCCAGGGATGTAAGGATCCTTCAATATAGGCAAATCCATCAATGTGATACACCATATAAACAAATTGAAGAATAAAAACCATATGACCATATCAACAGATGCAGAAAAAGCTTTTGAAAAAATTCAACACCTATTT